CGCGTTTTTGGGCGGAGCGAGCCTGTACGTTGTTGGGTGGCGGTTCGACCCGCCTGCTGGACAGCGCGCCGATGTTTTGGTGAGCGGGCTTGAGTCGCGCTCTGGCGGCGGCGTGGTGGTGGCGAACCGATTTCCGCCGGGCTCGCGCGTCACTGTGGTGGACTCGGTGCTGATTGCGGAGAAGCGCGTTGTGTATCGCGGCGCCTACGACCTTGGCGACGCCTCCGCGTGCCTCGTGGTACACAGCGTGAATCTGACTAGGAGCGTGCTGACCATTGCGCGCACGCATGTGGCGGCGGTGTTCCGCGACGCTGTTGGCGTGTTGTTGGTTGGCAGCGTGGCGCTGTCGTCGCGCGGTGCACTGTACGTGGACGGGCTGTCGATGCAGACGGCGCTTGGGCTGTGCGTGTCGGTGGAGGGCGGTGTTGCGGCCAGCGGCGGCTCCGTGGTGGCGTTTGTTGACAGTGACTTTCTGCTGTGCAAGCACGCGGTGTCTGTGCGTGGGGCTGTGAGCGTGTCGGGCTCCGCTGTGGCGCTTGTGCGAAACGAATTTTCGTCGACGGAGGACCACGCGGTGGCGTTTTATTCGACGGTGAGCCTGGCCGGTGGGTCGATGCTGCTGGCGAAGGACAACGTGCACGACGGCGCCTCGAGGGAGATGCTCTACGCCGCTGGCGCCGTGACCGCTGCTGGGAGCACGCTGAGCTTTGTGCGCAACCGAGCGCTGCTGCCACGGATGCTGTCGGTGAGCCTGTCGCTTGCGGCTGGGGCGCATTTGAGGGTGGCGTGCAACGGCGCTGGTGGCCGTGTCCTGTCGACGGCGGAGGAGTATGCTGCGGCTGGTTTTGGCGACGCTGGGAGCATCGACGTTGCTGGGTGCGACGCCTGCGACCGGGACACGCACTGCTACGCGCCAGGGACTGCGTCTGCGAGCATGAGGAACGGTGTGTGCGTGTGCGTGTGCGGCAGCGGCGGGCACGGCGAGGTGTGCGTGCCTGTGGGAGCTCTCGCACTGCCGCCCGCTGTGGGCACTGCGTCGAGTGTGTTCTTCCGCGAGGGCGTGACGGTGCGGTCGGTGTTCGTTGTGCCTGCCGGTGCAAGCGAGGTGACGCTGCGCCATGTTGTGCTGGACGGCGTGAGTCTTGTGCTCTACGTGCCGTGGATGGCGCGGGACGGCGTGCGGATCGTTGTGCAGAACGTGTCGCTGCTGAACGGCGCCGTGCTGTACGTGATGGGCGGTGGAGCGTTGCGCGGTGCGGTCGCGGCGGGGAGCGACGAGGGCGGGCCGGTGGAGCTGTCCGTGTGCGACGTGGAGGCGTTGAACGGTGCGCTTGTGCTGACCGGCACGTTTCCTGCGGGGTCCGTGCTGACGATGACGGACTCCCTGCTGGTTGCCGCGAGGCCGACGCCGCTTGTGTACCTTCCCGGCTCGCAGTCCTCGCCGTACGCACCGGTGCTTGTGCTGTCGGGCCTGCGGCTCATGCGGTCCGTGCTGGTTGTGTCTGGCGTTGCCCTCGTGACCGTGATGACTGGTGGGCGGACGGTGGTGGTGGACGGCGCGGTGCTGGAGCTTGTCGGTGGCGGTGTCGCGCTGGACGCGGCTGTGCTCGGTGGCGAATATGCGTTGTACGCGAGTGCGCGCGTGGTTGCCTCGGGGGGCGCTGTGCTGCGCGTGTCGGGGAGCCAGGCGTACGCCGCGCATGGGTTGGTGTTCGGCAGCGGGGTGGAGACCAACGCGTCCGCCGTCGTGGTGAATGACAACGCCGGTGTGCTGACGGATGGTGCGCTGCTGGTGCTGCGGGGGTCGGCGTCGTTCGTGTCCGGGTCGTGGCTTTCGGTGCGCGGCAACAGCATCAGCGGCAGGCTCCTGTCGCTGCCGTCGTACCCGCGCAGTGCGGACCTCGTGCAGAGCACGCTGACGCTCCATGGGAACGCCGGCAGTGGGTCCGTCGTGATGGACGGCACCGTTGCGCTTGGGGGTGCCGGCCGAAATTTCGTCGTAGGGTGCCTGACGCTCAACGGGCAGGCGCTGCAGCCGATGGACTACAGGTCCGCCGGCATCATCGGGGAATTTCGCCCCGTGGCGTGTGGCGTGTGCGATGCCGACGTGCACTGCTTTGGTGCTGCGACGAGGGCGATGTCGGGGTCGTGCGGCTGCCGCTGTGCTGAGGGCGGGTACGGGCGCGACTGCCTGCCGGTGTACCTGCCGCACGTGGACGGGTGCAACCGCACGCCTGCCCTGCCGCTGCTGAGCCACACGGCGACGCTGACGGAGACGCGCAGCCTGACTTCAACATGGACTTCAACATGGACGCCGAGTCTGAGCACGACGCACTACAGTTCGACGCCGTACGGGCCGACGGAGACGCTGCAGGTGACGGAGACGGTGGCGCTGTCGCCCACGCGGACCCCCACAGCGTCGGTGAGCGGCACGCTGTGGTGGAGCGACGTGGCGTGCCCGACGCTCGCTGTGACGACGACGGCGGTTGGAGGAGGCCTCACGCAGAACGACATTCGCGGCGGTGGAAGCGTCGTCCCGACGCGGCTGATGGTGGCGCTGCCGCCGCCGTTTCGGTGGGCATGCGACCCGCAACCCGGCACGCACCTGAGCTTCGTGCCGGTGTCGACGGCACAGTCGCGCGGGTTCGGTGGTCCGTGGGGAGCGATGCTGAGCAACGCGACGTGGATGCGCAACGCGACGAATCCTTTCACCGTCCTGGAGCTGGCTGTGCCCATCCATCGCGATTACTTCATTGGTGCCGACGAGACGATAGTCATTCGCTGCGACGCTGCGGCAGTGTCCGGCGGCTGCAAGGGTGTGCTGCTTGGGTCCTTCACGATCAGGTCGAACACGCTGCCCGCCGCGGCCAGCGCCCTCTCGGCGATCACCGGCGTTGTTGCGGGTGCGGCGGCTGTTGCCGTGGTGGTGACCGGCGGGCTCGGCTCCGTCCTGGAGATGCAGGCGCTCGGCGTGTTTGCGAGGATGCCATGCGCCTCGGCGCAGGAGCGTGCGAGCACCGTTGCGCTGCCGTACTTCCTGTCGGTGTTCGCTGCCCTTGACCCGCTGTGGATGGTGGTGGGCAACGCGCTGCTTGCCGCTGCGTTCGGGTGCGTGCACTGCGGTGTGACGGCGGCCTTCCAGCGGTGGCGCGGCGTGGACGCGGCGAGTGCGTGGGCGGCGATGCGCTTCCCGAGCCTGACGTACGTTGTGGCGCACGCGATGCACCTCGGCATTTTCTTTGGCTCCGTGCTTGCACTGGCGATGCCCGACGCCCGCGTGCGGCACCGCGTGATTGGTGCCGTTGGCGTGCTGTACGGTGTGGCGTTCCCTGCTGGCGTGTGCTACTTGATTGCTCGCCACGTGGGCGCGAGCTTCACGAGGTACTGGCAGTTTTCGAGGAAGCCGCTGCACGAGCGCCTGCTGTACCCCGTCGGGTATTGGCACCCTGCGGCGCAGCAGCGGATGTACGGCGGCCTGCTGACGAACATGAGGGGCAGCCGCGCGTACTGGTGCGTGTTCCAGCTGTCGGTGCTGTGCGTGGTGGGTCTGATTGCTGCTTTGCACCCGCCCGTGGGAGGCTGCCACGTCCTGTACTTCTGCATGGCGGCTGTTCTGCTTGCGGGCGCGGGCGTGGTTGCCTTCACGAACATGATGCGCTCTGCCTTCCTGACGGTGATGCACACTGCGGGCTTTGTGCTCCTTGCGGCGCTGTGCCTGGTGAGCGCGGCGAACCATCTTGCGCCGAGCGACGGCGGTGCGAGGGCGTACGCGGCGATCGTGCTGCTGCTGACGACTGTGCTGCTTGTGGTCACTGTGTACGGCGTCGTTGTGTGGTACGCGGAGGACTGCCACTGGCAGGAGCTGCGCGAGCCGCGGCGTGGCGGGCTGGAGGCGCTGCTGCGCGATGACGAGGAGAGTGACGAGAACACGCAGAAGCCGCACGAAATGACGTTATCGTCGTACGCTTCAGGCACCACCGGCGCGTCGTCGTACCGACCACCCGCACCGCCGTTGCAGCCTATGGCTGGTGACACCCGCTCAGACGTCCTGAGCCCGCTGGACCGTGCATCCAGTGCGAGCCGTATGATCGATTACGCTGCCATGTGACGTGTAACACGCGGAATTAGTGACTATGCGATGTTGAGAGGCCACGGCTGTGCTGCGCCCCACAGCCAGCCATCGTTAACAGCACCGATAGTGTTGTTGATTGTTGTTTCTATCGATTTGTTTCTTTTTTGAGCGGGTGCTTCCAGGAGTTTTTCCCGTTCCACGCTGACTGTGTGGAAGGGGATTGAGTTGTCGCTCTTGTTGCTCCTGATGTCATGTTGTACCGGACTGTAATTTCATGGAGTTGCGTGCGAGGAACTCAACGCTCATTTTGTGCAATGGAGGAAGGATTCAGCGAACCGCCTAGCGGAATTAATGAATCGCAGCTCTGCCTTATCGTGGGTTTGCATGCAGGGGGCATGAACTTTTGCAGGAGCAAAGCGGCGACAGAGTAGCAGCAGGTCTCCAAGTTTTCAGGAACGTCTTCGAGCGGGGTTGCGTATTGAGGCACGACGCATTGTCGTAATTCCGGCCTGCCATGGTGTGGCGAGTGCACAGGGTGATCCATTTTCTTAGCGGCGGAAGCGACGGACAAGGCCCTCCCAGTCACGTTCCACACTTGCCCTCGAGCGCACCGCATTCCACCGGCAAGGGATATCGTCGCGGATTGGCCACGCTGGTACGGGGATGCCCACACGAGGAATTGCTTCTTTTCCCAATTTCTTCCGGCCGTGCGAAATTCATGCACCACAGCAGACACAGAGGGATTTGGCGTTAGCATGGAGAGTGCGATATTTACCGGGACTTTTTCCACGGCAGCGTGCGCCCATGCACCTACTCGTCGAACCGTGGAGGCACGCGAACACATGTCGACGGTTCTGGATCACCTGGTGACTCACATTGTGGACGTACCATTTTTTCTTGCCCGCCGCGCCGAGGAGCGCGCACACGGATGCAGCTTGTCCTTGGCCACTGCGGCGTGTCCAGGAACGAAGCTTGTGATGCGAAATCCGAGAAGGCGTCTGATCTCTCGCAGCCCACAGACACATGGAGCACCGGCATCGTCGCATTGGCCGAAAGTATTAATCGTGCCCGACAGCTCAAGCCAGAGGCTCGCCGCTCCGCCGTAAGAGGCGACTGGGAACCCACGCGCACGGACCCCACCCTCACTCGTGGGGAAGAGGCTGCACTGGCCCGCCTCCGCAGCGGAGTTTCCCACACAATACGGATGGCTGCTACGACCACTGCGGCCCGCCATCCCACGCACATGCTGTTGGTGCGGCTCGGATGCCGCACAGCAGACACGCAAAGAACTTTGCACGGAAGCGCCGCCTCCTCCCGCTGGACCCACCCCGCCACGATCCGACGGCCGGCAGACTGTCCGGTGTGCGGAAGGCACTGCAGCTACCGTACTGGTGTTGTGGCGCACATGGTTGACGCCCAGGGCATGACGCGCCCCCAGGAGCTGCGGGAATTCAACTTTCCCGATGAGTCGGAACCGCCAGAAATCCCACCGGAACCAACACCCGCCACTTGAGCGGGGACGAGAGCGAGGGACGGCACGCCGATCGCACCTCCGCTGCAGACCGCACAGCCCAGGCCGAAGTCACTCTCATGCATTTTCCGCACGGCGTCGTAGGGCAAGCCGGAATCGTGTTTCATCTTCGGCACTTACACAAGCAAGAGTTCCCCCGACAAATAGGGGGCGTTGCCAGGAATATGGCGGTGTGACGGCATGCACCCCGTTCGAATGCATGTACAGTGCGAATTGAGGGCTCAAGCAAAAGCGGGACCACTGTCCCGCATACGAGCACACGAACGCTCCAGAACAGAGCCACAGTCGGCACCGAAGAGGGAAGCACTTTGTAAACGCTTTTAATGTGACGGGCAGGCGGGCAATGCCGGGGGTTGACCACCCACACACGGCACAAACACCCGACAGCAAGAAATTCGTGACACTAAAAATGGGGATTAAATAACCACGCGCTGCAAAGCCCGAACCTCCGCATGAAGAACATCAAGCCCACACAGAAACCCCGTCCCCGCGCAGGAGAATGCCACCGAGAAAGAGCGCAGCGCGTGCCTAAAATGGCAAGCACACATGCGTTGGTGAACGTCACGCTGTCGCCGGTTTCCACGACGGCAGAGGCGTCAGGCCACCGAGAAGGCGCACGTTGCCCGGCGACGACAGCCCAATGGGATCACCACCGGCTGAGCTTCGCCGTCCAACATGCGTGTTTCAGTGCCACAGCAATGCCGGCCTGAACCGCTACCGCACGGCGCGCCACGGCATTGACCGGAAATTGTGAGAACCGGCCGATTTAAACTGTGTGAAGAGGCAATTCTGCATTTACTCCGCTGCGGCTCCCACTTCGGGTGCCGGGGCTCTCTTTTAGATCTCCGATCATTGGGCGGACGTGCTCTGCGATGGTGGCTGGCGTGTGAGTTTTCTTATTTGTTTGGGCAGACACGAGGAATAGTAGCAGTATATATCAACAGCACTGAATAGATATTGATACCGATATTTACATGCCTATCTATATACATATGCGGCCAATAAAGTAGCAATCCAATAAACCAAGAAACCAAGCAATCTGTCAATTTGGAGGGGAGAGAAGGGATATATCCATATCGATACGCATGCGTCAATAAAGAAAGTAACATTTTTATACTCAGGCCCACACCGATATATTTATACATTGATCGATGCTTATTTTTTTATCAACACATCTCTCCATATAATTTTTTATAGGAGCTTCTGAGGCAAATGATCGCGGGAGAGCCGGCGAACTTAGTTAATGTATATGTATATATATCATGCTAAAAACGAATACATCTCTTCACGGCGCCTTTCTGTCTTATGAATTTTGGGAAGGCCACGACTTTAAGGACATCAGGGAGCCGATAGCGGCAGGACAATTTTTTATTTTTATTTTCAAAGCCACAGCCACAACGAGGTTGGTTTAAGGAAATGGCATTGGCTTGTTTTACACGGCCTCCGAGTGGAGAGATATTGGCGCCCGTCCTCCGCACCTAGTGCGCCAACATGGCGATATCCAGGTGCAGCTTGCCTTTGTTGATGAAAACGGGCCGTCGGATGCGACGTTAACTGTGGCCACCCCGATGACAGGCTCACGCTTGGTTTCAGGAAACGTCGCCAAACCCGGGGAGGATACGAGCCTTACAGGATATATTGCGAATCCCCGGGCGCCTCGAGTAGCAAATTTTGAGAATCAACTGCTCCCGCTCATCGTGTGGGCGCCGCCCGGGAGTTGAAGGTCCAGCAAGAGCTCGTCATTGCTGAAGGAGGGCGCTTGAGCACGGACCACGCCTGTGCCATCGTGGACGCGCGGGATCGAGGCGCTCAGCTTCATTCGCAGGCGGAAGAGGCGCATAACAACCCATCGACGCGCGAATCTCACATTGCGGTCTCCGGCGGCCTTCTTGCAGAGCGAGACTGCGCGCTCGCCGGGCGCGAACAGCAGTTGGAGACAATCCGCGCCAAACTACAGGAACGAGAGGCGCGCGTTAGCGCTAGGGAGGCGCAGCGAGCCGCGTGGGAGGCGGAGGCGGCGGGCCGGGAAGAAGCCCCCGCCACTCGGAGAGGTCCTACAGATGGACTTGTCACGCGTGAAAATACGGCAGAAGATGGCGGTACCAAAAAACAGCGTCAGACGCGTTGCTTGATGGTTGGGGGGGGGGGGGGCGCCGTCACGCACGGCCCTACGCAATCTCACGCGGGAGAGATGGTAGATCATTCCCCAGACGTCTCGGGGCAATTTTGGGTGACCACATTTCCATTTCTTGATGCCGTTGCCTTCCGCACTTCCTCTTGGACGCCCATTCTGCAACTGAAGAAGAGGCACGAAGTTTCTGCGCATTTGACGTCACCACTTGGGCCCGGCGTGTATGGAATGAGGGCGTTTCCGGAGTCGTTGTCGACTTCCGGGACCCGCACAATTGTTGGCATCGGGCGGACGACCAGGCTCAACTTCCCTTCGAGTGTTGATTGCGTGGGTTGGCGCGGTGGAAGCGGAGCGGGATCCCACCGATCGCTTCATGAATTTTGGCAGGATCTTACTGCAGGCATTCCGGGTGCGGCTCATGCCGGCGTCCGACCCCGGCATCCCGCTCTCCGACATTCGCGCCCTTCTCCGCACCGCCGTTCATGAGGCCGACGCCTTTGCGAGGGCAACCCGGTCTCTCGCGGAACGGCGAGGTACGCAAATATCGTTGCGATGCCAGTTAAGTCATGTTTGTGGACACGACACGTCTACACGCAACGTGCGCGGCGTAGCCCGGAGGAAACCACTTGCCGCGCAGACGGCCGTCAAAAAACGGCAGAGGAGTTGCCCGCTGCTTATGAAAGCGGACGACGGCAGCCCCATCCATTCCATCACCTCCCGCCATTCCACACAGGCGTCGCACCGCGCCGCCGATGCTCCATCCGATCTTTCAAATCGCCTGACGCAATCGTCGAGAAGGGCGATGGAGCTTATCTGCCAACGACGCTCGACTGTGGCACGACGAATGACCGACATCCCTGCTTTGGACCAGCTATATGAGGAAAGCGAACGAGGTGGCTCGAGAGATGTGGGCGCCGTCAACGTGGGAGCAGAGAATGTCACCAGCAGGGCAATTCACAACCTTTTGCCGCACGCACGAACGGTCGATCAGCGAGGAGAGCTGCGCGGCCTTTTTGATGGGAATATTCGATGTGGCGCCGCCGGCCCAACCGCAGCACGCCAGGATGCTGCGGTCCATGTCGCAAATGGATCGCACCCCGCTGGGCATGGCGATTCTGGGGTTACAAAAAATTGCGGCGCGAAAGGAAACAAAGCAGGTGCGCCCCTCGACAAAGGAAAGGGGTGGACGAATGTATCCGCAGCCGGGCCGATTGGAAGGAACGTGTTGTTTTTTGACTCACGTGGGTAACGGCGAGCCGTTGTTCCGAGATCGCGTCCCTGACACCCAACAATTTCACAACGGAGCCGGACGGGACCATAAGTTTGGATCGGGCCGTGGCGCCAAAGACGGCGAGAGCGGATCCCCACCGCGCCTTGCGGTTCGTGAGGGTACGAGGGCAGGTCGTGCTCGACACTATAAAGTTATGCAGGACACTTCAAGAAAACGAAAAGCTCACGAATCTTACGACCGCACAGGTGGGGCGAGCTCTGGCTCCTTGGCATGCCACGGCGCATTCCATAAAACAAGGTGCGCTGCGGCACGCTGCTCCAATCGTGGACACATACAATTTGGATCCACACGTGATCTCGCAGTTGGCGAAGCACGTCGACCCGTTCGACCTTCCCGAGAGCACAGTTTGTTATTTGTGGAGGTACACCACAATGCTGACCCAGGTATCGTCGCTGGCCGCATTGACGTGAAGGGAGAAGCTGCGGCAGGGCAGGAACCCTGGTTGAGAGCAGAAGAGCGTTTTTTCCATGATCTTCGTCACAATCATGCTGCTACGATAACGAGACGCGCGCCAAGGACGCGTCCGGCCACTCCACAAGATGAACGAGCCATCCCGCTACAGCAGGTCAACGTGCCCGTGTTGAATCTGGAGTGGATCAAAAGTCGGTTGCACCCGGCTACCTTGGAGAGTCTCATGCAAGTTTGGGACTCGTCGGGTGGTCCCCTTTCCCTCAATCCTCCTCCGGTAAAGCGCGCGAAGTCTAGTGGAGGATTTCGGTCTCTGACGCGCTATGGTTGAATTAAGCGGGAATAAATGACGACGCTTCGTCTGCGATAACGGGCAGATGGACAATGCCTTTTTCGGTTCTGGAGGAGAAAACCACCGGTTTACTACGACGATTGACCGCGTGGCCATGCGACAGCAACAGAGACGACCCTTATGGGGCGAATGCGCCTCTTTCGCACATTTCCCATTATTTGCCACCTGTGGTGGCTGAGGCCGCTTCCTGCCTGGATGCAAAGGCATCCTTTTTTCAAGTCTCTTTACCGCGGGAGACTCAGCGTCTCTTTCGATGCCGCGTGGAGGACGGCACGCTGGCGGAGCTCACACGGCCCCCAATGGGACACAAGGCCGGCCCAGAAATTCTCCGGATTATTATTACTTCGGCAATTGCGGTGGTGACGACGGTGGTTCGCCCCCTCCGGGCTGCACGTCCATTGGTGCGCGACGACGTATGTATCGATAATATACGCATTGCAGGGTCGAAAAGCGATGTGACATTGTGGGAAGCCCAAGTGCTTCGTAATGCGGTCGGCCGTCACGCCACGATGGGGGAGGGCCGCGAATCAGGCGCCACGCATTACACCTTCCTGTGTGTGTAATTTGATCACACTCACCGGGCGGTATCCCTGAGTGACAAGTTTGTCCGGTCTGTATGCGCCATGCCGTTGCTCAATTCCTTAACCATCGCGGAAATGGAGATTGTGGCGTCACGGTTTTTTGTACGCGGCTGCCATTTTGTGCACGCGTTTATTTGACTACTACTTTTTTATCAAGGCAGTGCGACGAATATTATCCGCACTTAACCGGGGGATTGTGCTGGAGACATCCCCGACGAA